CTCTCGTGATACTGATGTAATATGTAAAGCCGGTGTTAAAAATTAACATTGGCCTACCGCTTGTACTAATAAAGTGCTAAGGGCCTAAGTGGTCACCTTAATATTAAAAAAAAAAAAAAAAAAAATAGAGTAGTACTGTGGCTATGACAATTTGAAAGGCTGATTATAATACTAATATGTAAAGAAGAGGCACATTAAACAGGAAGAAAATTAAGAATTGAACTAAAACCAGAAAATATTTATAACTTAGAAAAAAGTTTAAACTGAAAAAAAAAAGTAAGATATATTTAGAGAAGATTATACTTATCAAGTATTTAAAAAAAAAAAAATCTAAAGAAACAAATTCAGTTCAGGTTTTAGTGTTTTGACAACAGAAGCAACATGAATATCAAAGAATATAGGCAACTAAAAGAATATCTGGAAACCAATAACCTACCTAAAGATATTGATACAAAAGAACAAGCAAGAATCCTTTCTAAAAGTTATTCTTATATAAAAAAGACAGAAAAAATCAGTTCTGAGAAAGATTATTAAAAATTGTCAAGAAAAAGGAAGTAAACTCTATATTATATCTGATGTATGACTATCTGACAGATGACCATTTTGGTGTCAATAGAATATTTAAAAAGTTAAAGAACTCTATTATTAGCTCCAAATATACGAAAGTAACTGTGCTTACATCAAAACATGTGACAGTTGTCAACAATGAGACAGAAAGATCTACTAGACCACTACAACCAATTCTAGTAAGATCATCTTTCCAAAAGATTGATATAGATATAATAGGTTCTTTATCACCAACTACTCAAGATAATCGCTATATAGTTGTTGCCACTAATTATACAATAAAGTAGCCTAAAGCAAACTCCATTCCAATGGCTAATGCTTCACAGGCTGCAAAATTTATTTACAATAATATTATATGCTGATATGGGTGTCTAGAGTTAATTTTATCAGATAGAAGAACATATTTAGAAATCAAGTAATTAAATACTTACTAAGAAGATTTTAGATAAAATATTTATTTTCAACATCTTACTATCTTTAAACAAATAGCTTGGTAGAATGGTTTAACTGCACATTGTGTGAATTGCTGGCAAAATCTGTAAACCAGAAACAAGAATGAGACTTGTTAATACCACCTACATTGTTTGCTTATGGAACAATAAAACAGGCTATTATGAAAATTGAACTATTTTACTTAATCTATAGTAGGCATCCTAGATTCCCCTATCAAGATCTATCTGAAATTTTAGAAGAAAATCTGTTAGATCGATTGTTTAGGCTGAAGAATGAATTGCTAGAAAAAAAATTAATTGCTAATTGATAAATTAAAAAAGTACAAATAAAGCAAAAAAAGAGATTTGATAAGAAATTATCTAAAGTCAACACTATCCAAATTAGAGATAAAGTTCTATTGTTTAATACTGCTCTAGACCAATAACGCATTGGGAAATTAAGACCAAAGTGAAAAAACCTATATTATATACATGATGTGCTATTTCAAGAGGTATATAAGCTATGAACTATATTAGAAAAAGTAATAGCTATCTCCATAGACCTTTTCCTCATTAAGAAATACTATAAATGAGTAAATGTAATGCACTAAAGTTAATTGATAACAAAAGAATTATAAAAAGGCACACTAGTAGCAATTAGGATAAAAATATTCATTAAAAATAGATAATAATTTCCAAGACATCTTATCAAACCTCATTAGCACTCAAGACAGAGTTATAATAGTAACTATACCTATTATTGATTCAGACTTAGACCTCTAGTTACAACTCTATAAAAAAAAATAGTCTGTGTAGTGGTACAGGGTGGTTTCAGTAATATTCATGATGGTTCGGATTTGTGGCATGTGTAGGTTCACTGTACGTGGTGGTACATGTTCGAATGATGCGTGATTGTATGTTTTGTCATATATAGGCTTGTTGAACGTTATGGTATGTATATGCTAGAGATAGTATGTACATGAAATTTGGTATTGGATTAGAGGTTAGAACATTCCTCTAATCTGATCCAAATTTAGATCTGAAGATCATCTAGATCTTTTTTTTTGTTTTTTTTAACGTTTTTTTTTTTTGTTTTTACTGTACATTATTTTATTTTTATTTTTTTTTCATGTCAAGTTACTAGTACTAATAGCTAGTTATTCTGTTCTTTTTTGGTAATTTCTTTCAGTTGTATTTTTTTTTTGTTTTATTTTCTCTATACTAATGTTTCTCATTCTCTTTTAGGTTCAGTATTTGAGTATTTCTTTGACAATCTTGATGAGTCATTTCGGTGTGGAGTTTTTAAATTTTCTTAATTTTCTGCTTTTTATTTTGTTTAGATTTTTGCTTTTTTTCATTTTGCTTTTTTCGGTTTGTTTTTTTCATTTTGCTCTTTTTCTTGTTTTGTCTCGTTGTACTTCGCTAATTTCACCTTCTATACTTTTACTAGTTTTGCCCTGCTGCTTTTGTCTTCTTGCAGTTTTGCTAGTTTGTTTATCTAATTTCAGCTTAGATTTTTGCTAGGTTGTCTTTTTGCATTTACTGGTTTTGCCTTGTTGCACTTTTGTCTATTTTACTTTGTTGCACTTTTGCTAGGTTTGCCTTCTTGCACTTTCACTGATTTTGCTTCCCCCAGTTTTGCTTGACTTTCTTTAATCTTTTTTTTTTCTTTTTCTCCTTTTTAGTTTGTTACTGAAACTAACTTCTTTTTTGTTTTTTTTTTATTTAAATTGGCATTTTGGTTTCATCGCTTTGGTGTTAAGCTTTTATTAATATGATTTTGATGTTATTATTGAAGCTTTTATCGGCGAGTTTCATCATTTTCAATTTTGTGGTTATTGGAATCAATATGTAAATATTGTTGGGTTGTGTGATAACTTTTGAAACTTTTATTACGAACAATATTTATAGTTAGAGTTAGAACATGGGAGTTTTTTTCTTTTTTGTTCTTTTTTTTCTTTTTTTATAAAGATTTCATCAGTAAAATATATTAATGTAAACTTATGCAAGTTATTACGCCCCGAAATATTGCACAATAATTATAGTCTGGGCATAATATTGCACAAAAAATTGCAAAAAATTGCGCAATATATAGCGTAATATTATAAAATATATTACGCAAAATTACAAAACTTAAAGCACAATATTACGCTACTTGTAGCACAATATTTCGAATTATATTAAAACAATTCGAAATAGATAAAAATGCATCAAAACAGCAAAATATTTATATTCTAATAGATAACTACTTAAGCATAAGAATTGCTAATCTATTTGAATTTATCAAATACTATTTGATTTATTTCGGGGTATTTTGAAATATTTCGAAATTAATTAAATAAAACTATGAATAATAGGAAATATATTTAAACACAATAATTTAAAAATAAGAATAATAGGAAATATATTTAAACGCAATAATTATACAATCAATTTGATTTTTTCGAATTATTTCAAAAAAATGCCAAATTTATAGCATTTATATAAATAAACTTAATAAAAATTTTATAACTTAAAATATATTTTATTAATAAATTTATTTTTTATTTTATTTAAAATTTTAAAATTACTAAAAAA